AGATCAAATGTGGTCAGTTTACAAGAAAAAGGTATTTTCTTCTAACTGCCAGCCCTGCAAATATAAACCTGAGTTCTAAGGATCAAGCTGCGTTCTTCCATATCACGATCTGTTATAATGGGTCTGCAGCCTTCCTCAGTCACACTATTTGCTTCAAATTATGTCCTCAGTGAAAACCTAACTGTCTGAAAGTGTAACTCATTGGAACTTGGTAGACAATTCCAGTATTGGCGACCCCATGCATTCCAAAGTCATGCATCAGACTCCAAACAATCAGAAAATAATCTTAAAATTCATGTGATTTTTTAAAAAAATAAATGTTGGGTTATTTTTATTTGCCTTCAGTTGTCGGAGACTTTAGGACACACTTCCTTCACATTCTTAAGTTTTTCTCCACAATCACAAGGGCTGGAAACATAGGTTGTTTTTTTTTAAATGACAGCTGAGATTATCATGCAATCCCTTGATTCCAGCAGCTGGCTGGGACTTCAAGAAAAAACCCCCAATTATTATGAGACTTGCAATAAACTCATGCAAGTTGGCAACAATGCACTTCTGTCAATAGGGAAGAAGGAATAGAGTACATCTTATTCCTTTTTAGCCTTGTTTGGCGCTGCAGGAGCAACACAAATAAAAAAGCAGCAAAACCTTATTTTTTGTCATTAGGATAAGCATATACAACTCTGAATACCCCAAAATAGTTTCTATCTGTTGGATAAAAAAAATAGAGACAGGATTGTCAATTAGAATCAGGTGGGCACAGCCTAGTATGCTGGGATTGCTGTGGGTGAGTATTAGTACTTCAGTTCCTCCTCTCGTCTCTTAGGGTGCCTTTTTTTTATTTTAACCTGCTTATTTTCTCTTTTTGGGAATGCTCCCCATCATCAGCTGCTCCAACTGGAAGCATCATCACACTCTTCCTTGTTATATTCTGGAACGTTTGGGCAATAGGAATTGTTGAGCCATCCCGGATCATTTCTGGATCTTGTCCAAAAACTGAAACACATGGAAAGAACGAAATTCTGCAGAAGTAAAATGAAGACACACTGGTCTCTTCACTGGAGCTAGTGAGCTTTGGCATTCTGCCCAGCACAAACTTTTCTTGGTAGTATTTCTTTTGGCGGAGACTGTATAGCCAGCTGATGTAATAATGCAATTATACACACATATCCTCGAAAACTTTTGATACTATCCTGATTTTGCATCTCAGTACACAGAAAAGTGAGACAGTATCTTCCGTCTGGCTCTTACCTTGCAATATAGGCCCCAATTCAAGAAGGTGCTTAAGCATATACCTAACTTTAAGACCAAGTAGTCCTATTGAAATCAATGACTCAACTCATATGATTAATATTAAGCACATGGTTAAATACCTTGCTAAATCAGAACCTCAAAAATCAGCTGTTTGCACTGGGTTTTAGGTTTTCTCCTCTTTTTAAAGTGGTGTAAGTGAGTCTTCTGCTTTTGAAAAGTAATGTAACCCTCTAATGGGCTTCCATTTTTCTATTGTAGAAGCTACCAGAATCTAACATTGCAGCAGTGTATATATGTAGCTAGGCCTTGTGGGTTTATATATCGAGGGTCGGCAACCTCTGGCACATGGCTTGCCAGGGTAAGCACCCTGGCGGGCCAAGCCAGTTTGTTTACCTGCTGCGTCGGCTGGTTCAGCCGATCGCGGCTCCCACTGGCTGCGGTTCGCTGTCCCAGGCCAATGGGGGCTGCAGGAAGCGGCGCGGGCGAGGGATGTGCTGGCCGCGGTTTTCCACCACCCCCATTGGCATGGGATGGCGAACTGCGGCCAGTGGGAGCCGCGATCGGCCGAACCTGCCAACGCGGCAGGTAAACAAACTGGCCCGGCCTGCCAGGGTGCTTACCCTGGCGAGCTGCATGCCAGAGGTTGCCAACCCTTGTTATATACAGTTAGTAAACACAATTATTTGGAGTCCTGCTGTGTCACATATGTTTAATGTTGTGTAGAAAACAAAGATACATGAAGTGAGAAAGAGACAGCATTGCTCACTCCTTCCTAGGGGAAGAGGAAATACCGTCTCTATTGCCCCAAGCCCCCTTTGAATAACCTAAGCAAAAGTGTTGCAGAGTGGCAGAAGCAATCAGGTTCTTAATATTTTTACCATGTTGCTTGGGAATGGAGAGAAGAAAAGAGGACAGGCTGGGGAGGAGGGCAATTCCTGCGGGTTCCAGGAGAAGCTTACAGTGTCCCAGGGAAAGAGAAACTTTAACTCAGATCTAGCAGTGAAAGACCTGCTTACATTACCTTTCCTGAGGTAGCGAGACAACCATATTTCATATTTCTGAGGGGGAACATTAAAAAGATCTTTTATCAACAAGAGGGAGCATTTACAAGGGTAATGCCTATCTGCATAGCTGCCCCCCTCCCCATTTACCTGCTGTGCAGCATTTATTTATTTGAGTACGTATTACACTCCACTGAAATCATATTCTATCAGGTACATCACGATATGTCAATGGGCAGCACTGAGGTCAGTTTTCCTCAGTGTACCTGATACATAAGGCAGCAATAAGCGGTTACCTGCATCTAAACGCACTGATGGGAGACTAGAACCATAAAACCAAACTGCAAGCATGTCACCAAACAGGCACAGTTCATTCACTGAATAAGTACTGCACCCCGCCTTCCCAAATTATCTGGATCTAAATAATGTTCCAAACAAGAAATTAATTAATTTTAGGAAAGTTCCTTTTCCTTTGTGCAAGTCACTGTTAGTGTGACTTTGTTTGGTGGATGTTAAAAATAATAAAAGAAAGAACAAACCTGTTTTGATTGCCTTTCTTGCTGCTGTATAAAGAGGATCATTTATGTTAGCAAGCCATGGCATTGCACTTATTGGCACAGACACCTTCAGTTTGTTTGGGCTGTTTCTCTTAGAGAATACATCCTCTAAATATTTTATCACCTAAAAGGAAAGCATCTTTTCATTAACAGTGTTTATACATTACATCCTTGAACAATAATATATCCAGAAATTGTGCATTCACAGACACACACTTTCATTCCCAAGCCCATACACAGCCACATAGTGGAAAGATGCCATTCATTATTCTGTAAATATTAAGTGTTGACAGGATCTCTGAAATTAACAGGAATTTAACATGCTGAGAACTGACCAAAAGTTGAAGTTTGCCAGTATTACCTGATGTTCTCCGATTGAAATGTCCATGTGAGGGACTTGCCGGATTGAAAATTTTCCTATTACTCTTGCGGGTATAACTGTTTTTATTCCTGGTTCGTGAAAAGCTCCTTCAATCCCATGAATAGAGAGAGAGGGGTAACGCCACAGGTGCATAAGTATTTCCTCCTTTATGATGTAACAAACAAAACAAAAGTGACAATGACACAGCCATTCAAAATTCACACAATCTACTGAAAAGCTAACTATCTTGCATGTAAAGTTTGTGCTTGATTACTTCTGCAATTTAGAACTGATTGATTTGTGATTAAAACCCCTAGCAGGTAAAGGTCTTTCTAAGTAAACACTGCTACTTCTTTTAGACAACATTTACCTACAGCATGAGAATATATGGAAGAGGAAAGTTATTCATATACAACTCTGGTGACAGTAAGAGCAGACAGGTGAAAAAATGGCATGGCGAGAGTGTCTTGGAGGTAAAAGTGTATAATAAAAATAATGAACTAAAAAGAAAAATACCATTAGGAGTTCATTTTAGTTTTTCAAATTCTAACAACCAACTGGCTTATGCAGTGATTATTTAATTACTTTCAGTTGTCATTACTTCTAATTTTATAAAAGGATCATGAATTGTGATAATCTCTCCATAAACTGTATGTTATTTGTTTATAAATGTTTCAATGATAACTTGAGTGTGCTTCTAGTTTGCAAAGTAGTAGTTGTATCCTGGGCTAATAAATTCTAATGCCAATGGCAAAGGCGTGTATTAGCCTGGAATATGATCATTACCAAGTTAACAGGGATCATTATTATGTAGTCTCCAATCAGCTACTAAAACCATTCACCTTAGAACTGCTGGTCTACTCAGTTTACAGGGTTTTACACCATCTTGCTATACCCTATTTATGCACTGGTTCAAATGATACTAAGCAGAATGGACAAGCTCTGATGGCGAAGAAGGGAAGAAAAGCTTTTAATAATGGGCAACTCATATCTAAATAACTGGACAGTGATCAGCGAACAATCCCATCCATTCTCTGGAGTTGATGCAAAAGACAATTTGTATGGCGTTAACTATACTGATATAGTTAAAGTGGTAAAAACTCCCTAGTGTGGACAGTTATATCAATATAAGAATGCTTAAAATGGTATAGTTTTATTCCGGTTCAGGAAATGGAATAAGCTATATCAGGGCAGGTCTACACTACCCGCCTGAATCGGCGGGTAGAAATCGATCTCTCGGGGATCGAATTATCGCGTCTCGTCGGGATGCGACAATCGATCCCCGAATCGACGCTTCTACTCCACCAGCAGAGGTAGGAGTAAGCGCCGTCGATGGGGGAGCTGCGGAGGTCAATTTGCCGCCGTCCTCACAGCAGGGTAAGTTGGCTCCGATACGTTGAATTCAGCTACGCTATTCACGTAGCTGAATTTGCATATCTTAAATAGACCCCCCCTCTCCCCGTAGTGAGGACGTAGCCTCAGTATAAGGCACTTATATACCGGAATAACTGCATACATACTAGGGTTTTACACCAACATAAATATAGAGGTAATTAAAAAAAAAATCACATCCCTAACTGACATAGGAATACTGGTACAACTTGGGTAGACCAGTTCTTAGCTGCTGGGTTTTATTGGTAGTGTTAATTTTGGGATTGTCATTTTAAAATTCTGTCAAAAGCTTCAGACATAAAATCTAAAATAAATAAATAAAACGAGCCCCAAATTATACCAACTTTTCTGCTGCCATCCACTTTCCAAGTCTGAATTCAATTTACTCTCTAGTCTATGGTCTTACATAAGTGGTTTTTTGTATACAGTGTTATTGTAGCTGTGTTGGTCCCAGGATATTGGAGACACAAAGTGGGATACAAATAAAAGTATGTCATCCACCTTGGCTCTCTAATAAGTGTTTTTTGTTTGTTTTGGGGGGTTGTTGGGTTTTGGACGGTTTTTTGGTATTACTATTTTTTATTGACTATCTGCATTTTCTATTATTTTCCCCCAGATGTTTGCATTTGACCAGGCCAAATCTTTTTTTTTTTAATTTCCTACCCAAGCTTTTAACTCTTTAGATTCCTTTGTTTTGTTTGCCTGTGTTCACTGTTGCTTGAAAAACCTTGAAGTTTGGAGTAATCGGTGAAAGTAATTAATGGGTCATTTCAATTCTTTCTGCAGACCATTAATAAAGATGTTACTGTACCTTAGTGTCATATAGGAATTTTTTCACACCACTATTATTTTTATGTTCCTCTATATCAAATTCAATTGCTTCATACAACTTCTTCTCCTCTTCCAATAGGGAAGCAACATCATCATAGACTCCAGGGATCAAAATACGACCTGATGTATCCACAAGGCTATCTACAGAACAGATACCAACAGGCACAATCTTCCCTTTAATTTAGGGCAGTGGTTCTCAACCATTTCCATACTGGGACCCCTCTTTTTCATATCAAGACTCAGTCGCATCTAGTCAAGTCACTCATTCCCATTTAACAATATGAAAAGGGAGATAACTGTATAATGGTTAGGAGGTCCTCTGGCCTGGGGTATTTTCTAATTTACTAAGGGTACGTCTATACTTACCTCCAGGTTTGGCGGTAAGCAATCGATCTTCTGGGATCGATTTATCGCATCTTGTCTAGACGCGATAAATCGATCCCAGAAGTGCTCGCCGTCGATGTCGGTACTCCTGCTCTGCGAGAGGAGTACGCGGAGTCGACGGGGGAGCCTGCCTGCCGCGTGTGGACCCGCGGTAAGTACTTTGTAGTTCGAACTAAGGTACTTCGACTTCAGCTACATTATTCATGTAGCTGAAGTTGCGTATCTTAGTTCGAACTGGGGGGTTAGTGTGGACCAGCCCTAAGAAACACACTGAGTTGCTCTTTGCTGTTCAGTCTTTCATGGAGCTAGTGGCTAACATGGAAACATCAGTCAGTTTATATAAGAATTAGCATAAAATATATTCAATTTCAGAAACCTTCTCTAATAGCACATGTCAACAAGACTTGTCTGGAGCAGGTCTAATAAACATGGTGCTGAAAATAGTGTCAGCAACTAGTGGGCCATCTACTCTAGGGCTCCTAACACTGATAGCCCGGGTGGAAATAGTAGGAAGTATTTGTATTTTAGACAGGCACTGAGGGGCCACATTTAACTCCAGAATAGGCCTGGAGTCAGCAAGGCACTTTAACATTTAACCTGAGCTGTTCCACTGAAGTTAATGGGCCAACTTCACACAAAAAATCCCCCACACATGATCATCCAAATGTCAGGATGCTTACACAAGCCAAACTGAACCACTGAATTTCTGAGGTTCACCCTCACCCATTACTAACTAGTTATCGTCTAGTAATACGATATGCAGTATTACCAAGCAGAGCTATTAGGTCAGTCATTGGTTCATGAATGATGCCTCCAAAACTTCCTGAATGAAGATCTCTCTCCCCACACCGTACCTGTGTGAAATAAAGGTAACATGTTGACATGCACAGAACATTGTTTTAATGCTTTCAAATCACTGGCTTTCCATAGGGACTCTGAAATGGTCTCAGGTCTGCTTCTGGCAAGTGAAAGATGGCCTAGTGGCTTTGTGGCAGAGTATGAGACAGACAGGTTGAGCTCCAAGTATCATTCTGTGCAGCCATCTCGTAGCAGATATGGATCATTTTTGCTATTTTGATGGAGTCATTCTGTTTCAGCATGGCTTGAAAGAATTGTATTCAGGATCTTGAGAGATTTGCTTTTAGTCAAAATATTCATCTACTAATTTTATTCTTTTTCCAGTACTGGGATTGTTGTAGATTTTGATTTGGTTCTCTAGGGATTAGATTGAAGAATGGGGCCAAGCAGGACCGGCTCTAGACACCAGCAAAGCAAGCAAGTGCTTGGGGTGGAACATTTCCAGGGGCGGCATTCCGGCCATCCTTTTTTTTTCCCCCCCGGAAAAATCCACCAATGGGCAGATCGGGCAGTGCTAGGACCTGGCAGCAGCCAGGCTGGTTCTGCACAATGTGTTTTGGTCGCAGAGCAACTCCCAGCCCAGCAAAGCCGGGGGAGCGGGTGTGAGGCAAAGTCCCCAGCTTCTGCTCGCAGGGGGGTGGAGAGGAACCGCTTTGACAGACGCGGCCAATTGCTGACACCCGATCCCCCGGGCCAGCGGGCCAGGGAGCACAGACCAGCCAGGCTGCTTAAAGCGCAACAGAGGGGGGGAAGCAGCTCAGAGCAAGGCGCACCCTGGGGGGAACTAGCCCAAACCCAAACGGAACCGAAGGTAACGGGGGGCAAAGGTGTCCTGGGGCAGGGGCGGCTGGCGGGGCTGCAGCTGGGTGGAGAGGGGGGAAGTCCTGCTTAGGGGGGCAGCCACTGAATTATTAAAAGACTACACAAGTATAAAACCAGAACAATTCAGTTCATATAAATTCTTTTAATTTCTGAGAAACTGGGCACACCAGAAGACACTAACGTTTTTCATTATAGTGTATAGTTGAACCCAAATTGTTTGTAATTGTCATTTTGTTAAAATTAAATGAGAACACTAGTAGGAAATTGTTTTATTTCACCAACTACAAATTCTCTTTTTCGTTTTTTTTTAAATTTTACAGTCAAAACGCAAAAACTTCCAGACAGGGAATTTATTTCCCTGTCCTCCCTATATTTCCCAGTGGCTCATGCAAGTTGCTAAATCACTTACAGTGTACTACTTACTCTGGTCAGTGGCTTCAGAACCTTAGTGTGGCTTCTCAGCCAACAGTCCCCACTAAGTTGTGCACTCTGCTGGCAGACACCATGCATTGAGCAGTGCCTGCCACACAGGGGTGGGGCAGCAGTGAGGCTGGGGTTGTACTTGGGCAGCTAGCCAGTGCCACTGCCTGTGCCACAAAGGCAACAACTTCTATTTTTAGTGTGCCAACTTGATCAAAGCTTGTGCGTGTATGTCTACCCGAGCTGGAAACTGCACCTCTAGGTGCAGCGTAGATGTACCCTTGGAGGTGGAGGGGAGGTTGGAGGAGGGAGAGGGGAGAGAAGGAGAGAATGAAAGTGAATGTGAAATTGTGAATGAGGAGAAGGTGAGGGAGAGTCGGAGAGGGATTGGGAGAAGAGAGAGAGTGAATGGAGCTGAAGAAATTAGGGCGGGGAGGTGTGGAAGTGGGAGAGAATGTGGATGAAGGGTCTGTACTCGCAGTCAGTCAATCTGTCCCTCTGCTCACAAACACATATTTACAGAGCACATTGTCATCCTCTGCCCCAGGACCCAACCCCAAATAAATCAATGCCATTTTCTCTTGTACCTCCACAGAGAAGCAGATGTTTCCCCGAGTCCCATACGTGAGGGCTGGTTTCCTGTTGCTAAGCCAAAGGTTATCCGAAATCACAATAAAGTCAACATCAGAGAAAAAACGCTGATTTTCTTTCTTAATTATTTCCTCTAGTCCAAGAGATCCTGCTTCTTCCATACCTTCAATAATGAACTTGAGGTTTACTGGTATGTCCTAAGTAAAAAAATCAACAAAGTGTAGGTAAGAAACGCATTTTTAATAATTAAGAGGGCTAATAAACTGGGCTATGGAGGAGGGGGGCCAAGTGGGCTGTCTAATTAAATTGTCATCTCTTTGGGGCAGGGAGCCCCTTTTTGTGCCATGTTTGCCTAGCAAAATGGGATCCTGGTCACAACTAGGGTTCTTGGTAGTACAAGTAATAAATAATTAACAACAACACATCCCTGTAGAAAGGGCAATCCTGGAACATAAAGCCTAGGGACAACATTTCCTTTCCCTTATAAACTTTCTCTCTCTCGCTTCCTTATTTTCCTTTTTGTTTTCTTGCTCCCTAACATACAGGCTGCATCTTCACTGAAGTTTTCCTCTATATCTCCCACTGTTGCAGCTCTACCAATGCTAGCCATGGAAGGGCTGTCTGTGTAGGCCCTTTGCTGGCATTTTTATCACTGTGTTCTCTAAACCTGCAGGATTAGGCGATATGGTGGTAAAAATGCGGATGGGCAGTCTACAGCGGTACTTCCAGTGCCCTTAGCACCAACGAAGTTGCACAGCTACTGCAGCATAGGGAGAATTTGAGAAAATCTTCAGTGCAGGCAAGGTCATACGACAACTTTCATCAAGGGCCAGTGGGAGTTAGAAATGCTCATGTGTCCCAAACAAGAAAGAAAAACTAAGCTCAGCATTCCACTGTGGTTCATTTTCAGACTATGAAGATGGTCTTTTAAGTTAAACAGAAAGCATCACATTGCATTTCTCCAGGTTTCAGATTTACACCAGTACAAAACCCTGGACTTTAACGGATTTATGTCCGGGACGAGTTTAGCCTCAGTGATCGGATAAACCAGAATGCTTCGCCAAACATCCACAAAAAAATTAAGAATAAACTGTGCACATACATTGTCTAATGAACTTTGCCGTTTGCTAGAGAGAGGATTCAGGAGGATAAGCCTTATCTGATTCACTTGTTAAAATGCCAACCTGGACATTACTGATTTGAAAGATTAACACATCGTAGAAAAACAGCCATAAACCAAATCAGTTTACAACCACGGAGTTGGACAGCAAATAACTTAAGATATAATTTATATATTTGCAGACTAGCTGTTTTCTTTGCTGAATCTCATATGCTGTTGAAAGAATATACTGTTCTGAATGAGCATTTTCCAGGTGCTTTCGTATCCTGATTCTGGCCATGGATACACACATACCGATGATAACTTACGGCCAAGAGCAGAACAGAAAGGTGCAAAACTAAGCATGACCAATACTTACTTTAAAGTCACTTCTTTTACAATTTTAAAAAGCTTTCAAGCAAATGATCTTCCTGGGTATCAAATCAGTTTAATGCTTGCCTTTTTCCTCAGTACCTTCTATAAGGCAGGACAAGGAGATAGCACCCTCTGCATTACATTGAGCCTGGTCAATACATAAAATACCCAAGCACAAAATGATCTTGGGGCGGGCTTGGAAACAGCATTAAAAATATACTAATGTTTGCAAATATATGAAACCAATTTGTGGGGATGAGGTTACTTCTGAAATTCACTCCTGCAGTGCCACTGGAATACAAATGAAAGGTTTCAGAGTAGCAGCCGTGTTAGTCTGTATCCGCAAAAAGAAGAACAGGAGGACTTGTGGCACCTTAGAGACTAACAAATTTATTAGAGCATAAGCTTTCGTGGACTACAGCCCACTTCTAT